ACTGGGATTGTCATGTAAAACAATCTTGTTTATAATTCAAATAAAAAAAATCTGCCCCCCAAAAAGAAAAAAAATATCAGAAGAAAATGAATTGCTTTTCTTTCTTAAACATTTTTCCTTCTTTTTACCTTAAGAAATATGTCATTTGTGTTAAAGGATTCCCATCATCACTATAATTTTTCATAGAGGTCAGCAAACAAAATTAGGGAATGCATGGATGTTTTGAAAGGGGAGGAGTGTCCCAAAATGGTACATGTTCAGCATGCAGTCCACAGCATTATAAAAAGAAAAGAAAAACTATAAAGATTTTGTGAACTCTATTCTGTGAGATGTTTTGCTTTTGGCTATCCACAAACTCTAATTTCCATTAAGTTTATTTGAAGCATTTAATGAGCATTTAATGTGCAGGGAAACTGTTTACTGTAGCTGATATCTACAGCAAACACTATTGACAGATGTGAGGCTAATGCCTGTGTTTCTACAAAAGAAAACAGGGGCATTTGTGTCTAGGAATCTTGCATGTGGTGCCCTTTGTAGACACTGTATGAGTTGGATCCCCTCCCTGAAGCCTAAGGGCTAACTGGGGTACGACATCTCACCACCTGTAATAAGTTACCTCAGGAATATTTCACATGGACAGAAATTACAAAACAATTACCTGTGAGCTGGAATCCTACGATCGCCAGCGACTAAAATGACATCGCACAGTTGCTTATGTCTTAAGTAGTTTTCCATTTTTTTAAATGTTTGCTCTGCATGGTTAAGGGCTTGAAAGAATTCATCTGATGAACATGGCTCCATAGTATGGCAGGATGACAGTGTCTGACTGCTATTGGAAGTCCTGAGAAAAAGAAAACACACATTTTAAACAATCACCATGTCATGAAAGTTTTTTTCCCCACTCAGACCCTTTAAAACTTTCACATGCAATATAAGAAACAATGCCTCCATTCAGTATTAGAGGATAACTACTCACTGTTTTTTTAAATTCTTTTTTTTTTTTTTCTGTTTAGGGTCCAACAGTATAATCCAGGCTCACCCCAAACTCTAGCCATCTTTGTCTCAGTGTACCAAGTCTGGGGTTACAGGCATAGTACGGCTTGCTACTTTTGTGTTTCAAAATCAATGCTGCTTGGTTATGTGTGTCTTGTAAACACAAGAATGAAGGTGCTACCAACAGCTATAGCTATGCATATTCTTTTTTTTTTTTTTTTTGTTTTTTTTAGACAG